TATTATTATTATTATTATTATTATTATTATTATTATTATTATTATTATTATTATTATTATTATTATTATTATTAATAGACCTCCATGTCCTCTACCGAAAACCAATAAAAGGTTTTTGTTTAACATTGTGAGAAACGTTAATAATCATAATAAAGCAGTTATTAAAAGAACAGAAGAAAAGGCAGCTGCTGCACTTAGAAGAACTATTCGTATTCCTTCATGGAGCGACGATGATAAGAGTTATCATAAAAGAAAAAGAAGTTCTGAAGATGATAAAAAGAATGGTAGAAATGGTAGAAATTATAGTAGGAGTAGTAGTTATAGTAGGAGTAGAAGTTATAGTAGGAGTAGAAGTAGAAGTTATAGTAGAAGTAGAAGTTATAGTAGGAGCAGGAGTAGAAGCTATAGTAGGAGTAGGAGTAGAAGTTATAGTAGGAGTAGGAGTAGGAGTAGGGATAGAAGAAGAAAGGAAAATAGGAGAAGCAGCAATAGGAATAGAAACGATAGTGTAAGTAAGAGTGATATTATAAGTAGAAGTGATAGAAGAAGTAGAAGTAGAAGTAGAGATAATAGGATTAAAAGTAATAAAAGAAGTGGTAAAAGTAGAAGGAGTAGAAGGAGGAGCAGAAGTGAAAGTAGTAGTAGTAGTAGAAGTAGTAGTAGTAGAAGAAGTAGCATTAGTAGAAGTAGCATTAGTAGGAGAAGTAGCATTAGTAGAAGAAGTAGCATTAGTAGTAGAAGAAGTAGCATTAGTAGAAGAAGTAGTAGCATTAGTAGAAGAAGCAGTAGCATTAGTAGAAGAAGAAGTAGTAGTAGAAGTAGGAGTAGTAGTATTAATAGTAGTAGTAGTAGTAGAATTAGAAGTAGTAGTAGTAGTAGTAGTAGTAGTAATAGAGGCAGGAGAAGAAGGAATAACAATAGATACGACAGCAGAGGTGTTAAGAGGAGGAGGAGAAGGAGTGGAAGCGGCAATAGTAGAAATCGAAGAAAAAGTTATGATGATAGTAGAAATAGGAATAACGATAGTGATAGAAGAAGTGTTGTAAGAGTCAAAAAATATTAAAATAAAAAAAAAAGATATTTAATTATTTAATTATTTTGAAATAAATGAAACATAACATATTAGTAATTAATCAAATCAATCAACATAAAAGATTTCACCTAATCTGACCAAACAATATATTTGCATATTTAATTTTATGCCTTTTAACCCAATTCAAAAAGAGGCTTCAGTCATTAGAATATGATGATGGTGATTTAGGACAATTCTCAATTTTTACTAACGAACAATTGGCAAATTCAATATGTGATTTTACTTTACTTCATTCAAGATATTGTTTAGCAGTCTGTAGTGGTTGTAGTGGTTGTAGTGGCTGTAGTGGCTGTAGTGGCTGTAGTGGTTGTAATGGTTTCAGTAGCTGTAGCAGCTGGTGTTGTTGATGACACTTCTGCTTCTTTATCATTTTCATCTTTCTTTTCACTTGTAGCTTCAAAATTTTCGACTAATTCTGGAATGTCGTCATCATCTGCTGAACCAGTAGCGCCACCACTACCACTGCCACCGACAATATCACCTTGTGCACCTTGAGATGATAAATTGAGATGATAAGATTCTGCCAATTTACGAAGCGATGCAAGGGAGTCCGGTCCTAGTTGATTCAAAATTCCTGGTCCAATCTTTACCATGAATTGCTACTAATCTAAAATTTTAAATAAAAATATTGTGATAAAGCCCAAATTACATAACAAATATAAAAATAAAAATAAATATTGTCATTACTTACTGATTTAATCTCTTGTCATCTTCTGGTGACCATTTTCCTGTATAATTGTGGTGATGAAATAATCTTTGAACATGTATACACACATTTTTTAGTGGCCTTGTTCCCAATGGAGTTGCTTTTAATCCACAAGTATTATATTTAGTGATAATATATTACACTAATATAAATATATAACAATAATACATATATGATTTACCAATTTCACGCCAGAAACCTTTATGCTCAGCTGGTGTAGTTCCATATATTAACTTGTGAAGTTCATTATCAGTCAAATTGTTTAGCTACATAAATATATAAATATAAATATAAATATATGCATCTCTCTATAATAATTCAAGTAATAATAAACCTATATATAATAATAGCAGCCTACAATTTTATATTTATTTAATGCCGCATATAATACTTCATCTTCTTCCATAGTATATATACCTTTCTTATATTTAATTCCTTTAATAAATATTCAAATAGTGATTGATTAAACGATTTTTTTAAAATTAATGTGTATTATAATCTAAATTGCATTATAAAAAATATATTCACCTAATTCGTCTAATTTTTTTCGTTCCAACCATTTTGAAGTCAATAATGCGTCATTATTTGTTGTTGATTTTGATCCTGCTGTTTTTTGATACCTGACCAAGCTACTAGAATCTGACGATCTAATTGCTGCACTTAACTTATTAACACCTCTTTTTTCTTTTTTTTCTTTTTGTATTTTTGGCATGATCAATTAAAAAACTGTTTTGACGTGTTGTGCAACAATTAATTAAAAGAAAGTGTTGACATAGTTCGTTCGTTGTGTGATTGAAAATTCAATATTTCCTTTCAAATTAGTTAAATGAACATCTTTTCAAAAACCTTAATTTTAATTCATTGCTAATTAATCTATCATTTTTTCTAACACTCTTTCCTTTATTGTCCAGCCCTGGGGACATCATTGAGGAAGATGATCATTACAACGTAGCATAGGTATTAATAATAGAGCAATCAATATGATTTGATTCTATCACTGTCAACACCACCAATATTAATTATTAAGTTCCACCTTATTATGTACCAAAGAAGGCTGATAGAATAAAAAATGATTCAGCAACTCATTTGAGAATTCTTAAACATATATATAACATTACAAATTGGTAATTTAATCCTCGTCATCCTCATAAATTAAATAATATTCATGGAAAAAAAGGAATTGACGTTGTAAGCTTATCTTTCATGACTTATAAAAGAAGTCGGGACTGAGTGGAGGCTTGTTTTACAAGAAAACACATGCAATCGAGATTTATATGTAGTCAATAATTTCCTTTGGTTTTTAACAAGAAATAATCATGCTTTAAATTTTGAATAGTCACGTCGAAATCGTTAATATTTACTCAATTCTTGAAAACTAAATTTGTGTTGCTTAAATATATCCGCAACTCCTTCCCACAGGTTACCCACGGAGAATTTTCAAATATAATTTGGAAGGTGCTTAGTGGACAGATATTCTTTGATTCCACTTTAATAAAAGAGAGAATCTATTGATGATTCTGAATTCGTCAATGGGGACGAATCTAAACTTGAAAGTAAAAACAAACCGCCTCATTCAACATGGAAGTTGAGATGTTCTTATATTTTGTAAAATTTAGTTGAAGGGCGTTCGGGCCTCGTTACGCGCATCTCTCCATATTAAAAAAATCTTGCCCCATGCATATGTGGCAACTTTCGGTAAATGGTGCTTGAACGGTCAAAGATCTGAGATGAAAATTTTCATTGGCTTATTTCAATTGATATGTCAGATGTCGTACAACATAATCAAAAAATTTTCTTCACAATTTTTTTAAATTAAAAATGCAAAACTCTTCTCAAATTGAACTTTATCACCCTCGTAAATGGTCAGTAAATGACTTTTAATGATAATAGTCATTATTGCTTTATTATAAAGTTTTTATTATATGATTATACGATTTCACATTACTTATTATCTGTAAATAAATGCAGTTCTGCAACAAATCGTATAATTACTGCCAAGGATCATGCATCTGTTCAAATAAATGTTGGAGAGGTCGATGAAAATGGCCAATACAAAAATGAATGGAAAACATATGCATTGTGTGGATTTGTTCGTCAATCTGGTGAATCTGATGATTCATTAAATCGTTTGGCTACAGAAGATGGATGTAAGTGGTATTTTATTTTTATAGATTATTATTAATATTATAATTGTTTGTTAAATTTTATTATTATTATTATTATTATTATTATTTAGTTCTTAAAAGGTAAACTTTCACTTTCATTAATTAAAAGTCATTTAAATTTTTGAAAAAAAATTTTTTAATTTTATTTTTTAATTCTTAATAGTGTATGGTCTCATCAACGTTGAAATAGTTTAATTGAATTAATCAAAGTAGTTAGGAATATTTCTTATATAATTCCTCTAAATTTGTTCATTAATTACCCAAATTGTATATAAATTTTTCTGTTTCTAGATTTAAAAAAATTTTTATTCAAAAACAATCAACAAAGAAATTTTATATACATAGCCAACCACTTGAACTATAAAATTATTATCTATGTTTTTTAGATAATTAATGAATTTGAGTCTATTAGTCCCAAAATAATGATGATAATTTTTGTTTTAATAAATTACAACATGACTGAAGAACAAATTCTAAAATATAATACCAATGTAGTTTTTATATTGATAATTATACAAACATCACAAATGATAATATTATGCTAAATGAAAATATGTCACAAGATGATGATTCGAAATTTGTCAATTGTGAGCTTTGTCTCAAAGAAACTGGAATTAAGTGGGATTTTAGGCAAAAGCATCCAAATGCAACATTCGCATAAACTATGGTTGTCAAAAATCTGTTTTTTAAAAAAGTTTAATCTGCTTGAACTCTAAAACTGGGTTGAGCCGAACCTAAACTAAACTAATGAGCAATTTAACATCTCTAAAAAAAAACTAATTGTTTGCAAAAATGTACGAATGTACTTTTTTCTACCACTTGTACAAAAATTGGGCATTTTTAATTTGAAGTTAAAAATACTTAAATTTCCACTTAATCTTCAATTTACATGTCTCCGTGTTCACAAAATCTCTTATTTATTTTTTATTTTATGGACCTCTGTCTCATAGCACATTTAATATATATAACACATATTACTCCCATCAAATCAATTTCTTTATCGATATGAATGATTTCCTCAAATCCTTCGTGACACTTGGAAAATCAGAATTTGAAACCGCATGATGATTATCTATTTCATTATTTTCATAATCTTCACATAGTTTTCGGCTAGAAAAAAAAAAGGTTTGAATTTAGAAAAAAAACTAGGGTTAATTATAAAAATTTGATAATGATTTGTGATTATATTTTTGATAGTCAAAAAAGAATTAAACGATTTTTGGTCAAATATAGGTTTAGGTTTTGAATTTCGGTATGATCTTGTGAATGTTTGAAATTACTTTCACTATCGAAAAGGGAAGGTTTTCGGTGGACATCCCTAGAGAAAACTACCACGTCGTTTCACCTCCTGGATTTACATGGTCGAAACGATGTTTTAGAAAAATCCAATCTTAAAGCTTGCAAGGCAGGTGTTGATTTGGTCGCCAATATTTTGCTCTATAAATCCTGCGAGTGACGAATTAAAAATTTTGTATTAAAAATCACCCCCACGCCCATTATTTAAAGATCACCACCATAATGGTAAAACTTTTCTAATTTTAATATTAATATTAACATATATAGAAGGAAACTATGATTCTAAAAGGAAAGCATTTTTGTAAATCAACATAAAAAAAAAACTATGAAGCCATTTTTCCTTACCAAATCGATACATATAGAGGGAAAAAAAATACACATTTATTTATATCATCTCTGTTAAAAAAAGGATAAAAAAAAAAACGTTAATAATTTCATTTTCATATTCGTTATTTTATTTATCAAGTAGAAATATAAACATGGCAATGGAAAATGATATATATTTGAATATTCCACAAAGAACATTTATTAATGAAAAATATTTATTGGAAGCAATCACTCATAAAACATACGCACAAGAAAATTTACTGACAGCTGGTCCATATAACGAAAGATTAGAATTGTTGGGTGATTCTGTTATTAGTTTTTTGGTAATTGATTATTTATTTGAAAAATTTCCCGATTATAGTGAAGGAAAATTAACTGCTATAAAGTCAAAACTAGTTTGTAAAAGATCTTTAGCAAAATTTGGATTTTCGATAGGCCTGCCAAATTTGTTGAGATTGGGAATTGGTGCTTTAGCTGAAGGTTCTAGATACAAAGAAAAATTTATAGAAGATGCGTTTGAAGCATATATTGGCGCTGTATTTTTGGATTGTGGTAAAAATTATAAAGAAGTAGCAGAATATTTGAGACAATTCCTGGATCCAGCCATAGAAGAAATAGCAAGTAAAGAAACCACGGAACAAGAAGAGATTACTGAAATAACCCAAAAATTAAACGGAATTGGACCTATCGATTCGAGTATTTCTAATAAAGATTATCTGGACCCTATCAACAAATTACAAACTTGGTCTCAACGTAGAGGTTTAGGAATACCATCGTACAAACCAGTAGATGAACTAGGTATCACAAATTCAGTTCATAATCCTACGTTTGGTTATGAGGTTATGCTGAATGATGAAATTATTGGTAAGGGGGATGGAGGTAATAAGAAAGAAGCGAAAAAAAAAGCTGCTATAGACGCACTAAGAAATCATCTGAAACTCTCAGTAGATGACAATATAGCTGAACCCATTAACACTCTACAAATCTACTTTCAAAGAAGGGGAAGTAAAATTCCCGAATACAAGGAAATTAATGCCTTTAATTTTAAACCTAATCCTGAATTCGAGTTTCATGTGCTTATCAACAATGAAGTTTATGGCCGCGGAACTGGCTCTAATACAAAGAATGCCAGAAAAGCTGCTGCCAGCAACGCTCTTGAGAAAATTTATAGTAATGAATCCAATTATTCTGATAATCCATTTATCAATGATACAAATACCATTACGTGCTTATAACAGAAGGAGAGGGAATGATCGTGATAATAATAATGAAAAATTAATTAATTATTATTTTATATATATATATATTTATATGTATATTTATAAATTATAAATTATATATTTTGTATGTAAATTTTGTAAGTTAAATTTATTTTTTTGGAATTTACTCATAATCCATATTTTTATTATTGATTAACTAATAATTTATATATATACTTTTTAATAATATTTATTAAGAAGATAAAATTATCATTAATATTTTAATATTAAGATTACAAAATATATACGTTCCACTTCCTCTTTCCTACTAATTATCAAAAGATATTTACAAACTTTCCATTTTCTTTCATTCCCCCTTTAAATAATAATCAATTAAAAGATATCATCAACACACACGTATAAAAAAAAATTCTTTGGAAATTAAGAAACCTATATTTTTTATCAAAATTTAAGCAACATAATTTATATTATAAAAAAGCTTAATTTATTCTATTTATCAAATTAAGAGAAATACAAATCACAAGTAGATTTTATTATTCATTCATGATCCCAACTTTATTCTTATGAATGAACTATTGGTATTTGTGATTTGTATTTTGATTACATTGATAGGGAGAATGAGTTAGTTTTTTTTAAAAATATTTTTATGGATTATTTATTATTATTTTAATATACTAAAAAAACTTTTCTATAAATAAAGATTAACAGTGCAGTACTTATACAATAGTAATAGACATTTACCCTATTTCTATTGTCCACCCCTAATATATTAAATATCAGCATGTTTAAAAAATTTTCAGAAACCACATAATAGAAGTTATATCAGAGAACCAAAAGATCTTAGATTACCGCATATAAAAATTTTGAAGCGTATTATTATGTATATACATCAATTTTTTTTCAAAATTATTTTTTAATTGATAAAGTTCTAAAAAATCCGGGAACGTGGGATTTTATATGCATAATCTTCAGATTTGGGTTTTTAGGTGCTCAACAATTTAAATTTTTTTCTTAACACGCCGTATATACATGTGTAACTTTTTTTAAAAGTTGTTTTTAGTACTCTATTCCTGATCGCATGTTGTCCTTATTATTATACTTAATTTCTGTAGCACATACTCTATTGCATTCGATCATACTTGGCAACTTTTTTTGTCTAGATCAATATTTATTCCATTCTATTTTTTTCTTTAGTTATTTAATCTAACTTTCGCAACTCAACTTTGACTAAAATTTTCCAATTTACATCATTATATATTATTATAAATACCAGCAGAGTTAATCAAATATGAAATAGGCACGTGAGGCTCAGTAATAAATGAATGAAGAACAAAGACATTGTTTTTTTTTTGCTGGTAAATAATAGCACGAGTCCGGACGTTTCTGGAAGCGGCGGGCATTGATCGCTCCTTGCCTATGATGTTCCGGGAAAACTTTTCATTATTATGACTCTCTCTAAAACATGAATTTAGGAGTTGGTCAAAAATTAGCCAAAATTTTTACCAAAAATTTGTTGGGAAAAGAAGAGGATTTGCCAATTCATCAAATACCTATATATGATAAACTCCTGCTTTAATTGCCTGCGAGAATGGTTGTTATCGCGTCCAGGAGTACGGCAGAGATGATGATAGTCGTACTGGTCCAGGCTCGTTGTTGTGCGGATAGTCATTACCATGTTCAGGAAGAAGAAGATTATTATGTCCAGGAAGAAAATAAAATGAAGATGGTTGTTATTATGTCCAGGCTCATTGTCCTTCACCCCTTTTGATTAATCATTATTACCAACGTTTACATACATCTAATTCTACAACATTTTTTCTTAAGCTTATCAATAATATCGCTGTAATTGTCATCACGATCAAAATTTTTTATGTAACTTGCCGAAGCGAAAATATGCGTCGTGTATTGATTTTTTTTTCAAAACAGCTCATCATTTCATTTTCAAATTCAAAGGAATTTATCATGGTTTCTATTTTCTTTTTTGTCTTAGTATTGACAATTCAAGAAATCAACATTGTTGCATATGTGACACAGACAAAGCGCGTGTGTATATTTTCTCAATTAACTAACATCTTTCGCACAAACATACATGATGCTATTACTATCTGCTTTTTTTAGTGCTGATTCATTCAATGTTTTTTTCAACTGTCTATCTAGCATTGTTGGCAAATTTCACTTTTTTTTCCTTGAATAACTTTTGGTACGAAAGAAGAACCATTTGAATTCGTGTAATAGTAAAGAGACCAAATGATGATTCTTTTACCCCAAAAAAGTTCTTTTTACACAGATTGTGGAAAATCGTCCATTCCTAGAGTTCCCGACGTAGTCTTTATTATTTACATTTGTATTTATATTTATCCTGAAAATCCCACAAATACCTCCTTTCTTGGCCAAAGTAAATTTATTATGTTTATCTAGGACGGTTGGTAATGATGGTACATATTTTTTATAATATATATACAAATGTTCTTAACTTTGAATAAAGAAATCAGGCAATCTGAGTTTTAAATAAAGCGAGGACGTCGTGTATTGATTTTTTTTTCAAAACAGCTCATCATTTCATTTTCAAATTCAAAGGAATTTATCATGGTTTCTATTTTCTTTTTTGTCTTAGTATTGACAATTCAAGAAATCAACATTGTTGCATATGTGACACAGACAAAGCGCGTGTGTATATTTTCTCAATTAACTAACATCTTTCGCACAAACATACATGATGCTATTACTATCTGCTTTTTTTAGTGCTGATTCATTCAATGTTTTTTTCAACTGTCTATCTAGCATTGTTGGCAAATTTCACTTTTTTTTCCTTGAATAACTTTTGGTACGAAAGAAGAACCATTTGAATTCGTGTAATAGTAAAGAGACCAAATGATGATTCTTTTACCCCAAAAAAGTTCTTTTTACACAGATTGTGGAAAATCGTCCATTCCTAGAGTTCCCGACGTAGTCTTTATTATTTACATTTGTATTTATATTTATCCTGAAAATCCCACAAATACCTCCTTTCTTGGCCAAAGTAAATTTATTATGTTTATCTAGGACGGTTGGTAATGATGGTACATATTTTTTATAATATATATACAAATGTTCTTAACTTTGAATAAAGAAATCAGGCAATCTGAGTTTTAAATAAAGCGAGGATCTAGCAGAAATATTGTTAGACAATTAATGGTTGCTGGAAACCATAATTGCAAAATTTTTTATGTCATGCTTGCAAGTAATCAAATTTTTTTTTTTGATTCATTTTATTAAGATAAAATTGATAAAATAATTATAAAAATTGATAGGCGAACCTTGTGGATATGTCTCCTGATGGGGAATATAAATATATTCTTCATGCTCGCAACACTTTACTAGATATTCATGGGGATATCCCTTGAAATCTAAATCTTTAATTGAGGTTGCAGCAAATTTATTTGACTTGTTTACAGCTTTTGGAGCTCTAACAATATTACAATCAGATAATGGAAAGGAGTTCAATTCTCAAGTAACAAAAGGTTTGATGGGATATGGCTAGGCACAAAAATTATTAATGGCAGGCCATGTCATCCACGGCCCCAGGAGCTTGTAGAACTTGGAATAAGGATTTAGAAAACAAATTATCAAAGATAATTGGTTGTTTGTACTAAAAATTATAATCTATAGTATGAATATTTCTATTTCTATAATACTCCAGATTGTTTGGTTTTTGGTATTGAACCAAGAAGTAATGATACAGTATTGGAATTATTATTTGCTGATTGTTACATTAATTAAGAGGACATACCAAGCAATATAACAATTGAAGGTGAAAACATTCAATAATTTTATCAACAAAACTCAATTTACACATTATTTAATTAAAACCTAATTTTAAAAAATAACTTGTATTTTCAGATCAAATTAATAATGAAGCTAATAATGATAATAACAATAATTATGATGATGGTAAACAATACTTCAAAAAAAATTTATTTATTTATTATAAAGGTTCTAAAAATGCATTCGAATTTTTAGATATAATTATTGCAAGTACTAGTGGTGGTGTTATTTATAATAATAATGATGATGCCGTTAATGTTGACACAAATGATGAAGCTAGTGGTAAGTAATATTTCAAACGTTTATTTATTTATTTATTTATTGGTAATGATAGTAATAATAATCATGATTATGATGATGAAGCTAGTAGTGAGCAATATTTCAAACGTTTATTTATTGTAAATGCAATTGATTTTTAGATGGAACTATTGCGAGTACTAGCAGTGGTGTTAGTAATAATAATGATGGTGGTGATGGTATGTAATCTTTTTAAGAATTTATTTATTATAAAGGTTCTAAAATGTGTTTGAATTTTTAGATGAAATTATTGCAAGTGTTAGTGGTGGTGTTAGTAACAATAATAACAATGATGGTGATGGCAAGTAATCTTTTTAAGAATTTATTTATTTATTTACTTATTTATTCGTTATAATAAGTCTAACAATAGCATTCAAATTTTAGATGAAAATATCATTGCAAGTACTGATGTTGTTGTTAACAGTAGCAGTAGTAATAATCGTGAAGATGGGGAGTATTTGTATATTGGTAATTACTTTTTGAAGCTCTTTGTAATATTGATTACTGATTTTCAATTGATGGTCTAACATTTAATTATGGCTGTTCATCATCATTATTTTCATTACATTATTAAAAATCACTATGTACCACAAATAGAGAATACAGATATCTAATTTGTGCGCAGTTCAACATTCTCATCCTCAATTGTATCGATAATATTGATATATAAATTCTTGTATATAAATTTATTTTACATTCAAGGAAGAAAAATCTATTCTATATTCTTGAGGCAATGCCTTTTTGTTTACGTACTGATTGGCAACTGAATATTTTTAGCTTGAATTGCATAATCCAATCTTATCCATGCTTGATTTTACTGGTGATATAGTTGCAATAATGCATACCAAGCGAGTCTTGTAATAATCCTGCCAGTTACTTTCTCTTAATAATAAAATAATAATAATATAAAAATAAAAATAATGGAAACATTAATGTACTGTTGTACGTGAAATTCAAATTAGCCAATCAGAATTTTGTATCCAAAACACCCACCCCAAAATTTAATTCACCACAAACATGATTTTCACACTAGATGTAATAAAAAGATCCAAGACCACAGATCTCAGCAATGGCATTGCATTAGTGTAATAATATCCTAGTAATGGTTGTGCGTGATGCAAATTTTATGCAAATCTGATGGAAATTCAATGACTGTGACCTTGCCATTAGACCATTCCCAATAGTTATGAATATTAAACATGTCTCCATGACATTCGTATTCTTTTAAAGTTACACACCCTCGACAAGCATGTATGAAAATCTTGATACAATAAACAAAAATCAGCTTGTTATCTTCAATACATAGCATTATCCCAGTCTGCCTTTTGTATGAAGGATTCCTTGATTTCACCATAGCCTTTGAAATTTTCTTAGTTCATCCATCAGGAAAAGGTAGATTTTGGAGTAAGTGCATCATCTTCTGAACTTTCAAAAAAATATTAGCTCATCTTGAGCAAAGATTTAAAGGCATTCCATTAGCTCTGGTACTAATAGTCTAATCAAGAGGGGGCTTATCAATAAAAACGGGCCATGTTGTGAAAATGATTTTTTGAGAAAATTAAAGAAAATATCCATATTTTAAGGGTTTATTATTGTTTTTGAAACTTTAAAGAAAAAATATTTCGATATTTTACTATGCAAAGTGGGTGTAATTTTCAAGCCAAAAATGTTCTACATATAGCAATGGTATAACTCAAAATTGCTTTTTTCACAACATGCCTGTTTCTATTGGAAACCCCCAATTTTTTCAACAAACCCTTGTAAGGGGTATTGATCAATTGTAACTTTATAGAAAGGTTCTAATATACGGATATGGATATCATAATAAATGTTTCAAGAAATGGGGATTTAAATGTCATCCATCATTGTTTAGAATATCTCATAGATGGAGTTGATTTATTATCATCCTCTTACAATAATAGATTGGAAAGTCAGATTATAAAGACTGATTAATAGAATTAGAAAGTCTTGATGAATTAAATACATCACAAAATGATGATTATGATTTTGATGAGCTCAATTCTAACCTACCTTAATACAAGTATCAGAATTGCTTTAATTAAATTACAATAAGATGAAATTTATTATTATTTTTTATTGATTTTTAACATTAATTTTTAAATGCCTTAGAGCCTGTTCCAGAACCTTTAATAGTAGTAAACCAATTTTAATTTTAGGGTAATATTATATACAGAAAGGTTCTTTTTATGAAACATGTGACAATAAGAATTAATTTTTAGAGTTGGATAGTAAGTTTCCATTCTAGAGTGATTATTATTAATTAATTATAATTATTATTATCAAGATCAAATTGATTGATTAATTAGCATGGTCAAAGTTTATAGAATGGAATTATCATCAACCAGTTCTTGCTGACAAAGCTTCAATTCAAAATTCATAATGTCTTATATAAAAACTTTGAAATATATTTTAATATTCTTCTTATTACAAGTTACTAGAAATATTCCTAACTACTTTGATTAATTCAATTAAACTATTTCAACGTTGATGAGACCATACACTATTAAGAATTAAAAAATAAAATTAAAAAATTTTTTTTCAAAAATTTAAATGACTTTTAATTAATGAAAGTGAAAGTTTACCTTTTAAGAACTAAATAATAATAATAATAATAATAATAATAAAATTTAACAAACAATTATAATATTAATAATAATCTATAAAAATAAAATACCACTTACATCCATCTTCTGTAGCCAAACGATTTAATGAATCATCAGATTCACCAGATTGACGAACAAATCCACACAATGCATATGTTTTCCATTCATTTTTGTATTGGCCATTTTCATCGACCTCTCCAACATTTATTTGAACAGATGCATGATCCTTGGCAGTAATTATACGATTTGTTGCAGAACTGCATTTATTTACAGATAATAAGTAATGTGAAATCGTATAATCATATAATAAAAACTTTATAATAAAGCAATAATGACTATTATCATTAAAAGTCATTTACTGACCATTTACGAGGGTGATAAAGTTCAATTTGAGAAGAGTTTTGCATTTTTAATTTAAAAAAATTGTGAAGAAAATTTTTTGATTATGTTGTACGACATCTGACATATCAATTGAAATAAGCCAATGAAAATTTTCATCTCAGATCTTTGACCGTTCAAGCACCATTTACCGAAAGTTGCCACATATGCATGGGGCAAGATTTTTTTAATATGGAGAGATGCGCGTAACGAGGCCCGAACGCCCTTCAACTAAATTTTACAAAATATAAGAACATCTCAACTTCCATGTTGAATGAGGCGGTTTGTTTTTACTTTCAAGTTTAGATTCGTCCCCATTGACGAATTCAGAATCATCAATAGATTCTCTCTTTTATTAAAGTGGAATCAAAGAATATCTGTCCACTAAGCACCTTCCAAATTATATTTGAAAATTCTCCGTGGGTAACCTGTGGGAAGGAGTTGCGGATATATTTAAGCAACACAAATTTAGTTTTCAAGAATTGAGTAAATATTAACGATTTCGACGTGACTATTCAAAATTTAAAGCATGATTATTTCTTGTTAAAAACCAAAGGAAATTATTGACTACATATAAATCTCGATTGCATGTGTTTTCTTGTAAAACAAGCCTCCACTCAGTCCCGACTTCTTTTATAAGTCATGAAAGATAAGCTTACAACGTCAATTCCTTTTTTTCCATGAATATTATTTAATTTATGAGGATGACGAGGATTAAATTACCAATTTGTAATGTTATATATATGTTTAAGAATTCTCAAATGAGTTGCTGAATCATTTTTTATTCTATCAGCCTTCTTTGGTACATAATAAGGTGGAACTTAATAATTAATATTGGTGGTGTTGACAGTGATAGAATCAAATCATATTGATTGCTCTATTATTAATACCTATGCTACGTTGTAATGATCATCTTCCTCAATGATGTCCCCAGGGCTGGACAATAAAGGAAAGAGTGTTAGAAAAAATGATAGATTAATTAGCAATGAATTAAAATTAAGGTTTTTGAAAAGATGTTCATTTAACTAATTTGAAAGGAAATATTGAATTTTCAATCACACAACGAACGAACTATGTCAACACTTTCTTTTAATTAATTGTTGCACAACACGTCAAAACAGTTTTTTAATTGATCATGCCAAAAATACAAAAAGAAAAAAAAGAAAAAAGAGGTGTTAATAAGTTAAGTGCAGCAATTAGATCGTCAGATTCTAGTAGCTTGGTCAGGTATCAAAAAACAGCAGGATCAAAATCAACAACAAATAATGACGCATTATTGACTTTCAAAGAAGGGGAAGTAAAATTCCCGAATACAAGGAAATTAATGCCTTTAATTTTAAACCTAATCCTGAATTCGAGTTTCATGTGCTTATCAACAATGAAGTTTATGGCCGCGGAACTGGCTCTAATACAAAGAATGCCAGAAAAGCTGCTGCCAGCAACGCTCTTGAGAAAATTTATAGTAATGAATCCAATTATTCTGATAATCCATTTATCAATGATACAAATACCATTACGTGCTTATAACAGAAGGAGAGGGAATGATCGTGATAATAATAATGAAAAATTAATTAATTATTATTTTATATATATATATATTTATATGTATATTTATAAATTATAAATTATATATTTTGTATGTAAATTTTGTAAGTTAAATTTATTTTTTTGGAATTTACTCATAATCCATATTTTTATTATTGATTAACTAATAATTTATATATATACTTTTTAATAATATTTATTAAGAAGATAAAATTATCATTAATATTTTAATATTAAGATTACAAAATATATACGTTCCACTTCCTCTTTCCTACTAATTATCAAAAGATATTTACAAACTTTCCATTTTCTTTCATTCCCCCTTTAAATAATAATCAATTAAAAGATATCATCAACACACACGTATAAAAAAAAATTCTTTGGAAATTAAGAAACCTATATTTTTTATCAAAATTTAAGCAACATAATTTATATTATAAAAAAGCTTAATTTATTCTATTTATCAAATTAAGAGAAATACAAATCACAAGTAGATTTTATTATTCATTCATGATCCCAACTTTATTCTTATGAATGAACTATTGGTATTTGTGATTTGTATTTTGATTACATTGATAGGGAGAATGAGTTAGTTTTTTTTAAAAATATTTTTATGGATTATTTATTATTATTTTAATATACTAAAAAAACTTTTCTATAAATAAAGATTAACAGTGCAGTACTTATACAATAGTAATAGACATTTACCCTATTTCTATTGTCCACCCCTAATATATTAAATATCAGCATGTTTAAAAAATTTTCAGAAACCACATAATAGAAGTTATATCAGAGAACCAAAAGATCTTAGATTACCGCATATAAAAATTTTGAAGCGTATTATTATGTATATACATCAATTTTTTTTCAAAATTATTTTTTAATTGATAAAGTTCTAAAAAATCCGGGAACGTGGGATTTTATATGCATAATCTTCAGATTTGGGTTTTTAGGTGCTCAACAATTTAAATTTTTTTCTTAACACGCCGTATATACATGTGTAACTTTTTTTAAAAGTTGTTTTTAGTACTCTATTCCTGATCGCATGTTGTCCTTATTATTATACTTAATTTCTGTAGCACATACTCTATTGCATTCGATCATACTTGGCAACTTTTTTTGTCTAGATCAATATTTATTCCATTCTATTTTTTTCTTTAGTTATTTAATCTAACTTTCGCAACTCAACTTTGACTAAAATTTTCCAATTTACATCATTATATATTATTATAAATACCAGCAGAGTTAATCAAATATGAAATAGGCACGTGAGGCTCAGTAATAAATGAATGAAGAACAAAGACATTGTTTTTTTTTTGCTGGTAAATAATAGCACGAGTCCGGACGTTTCTGGAAGCGGCGGGCATTGATCGCTCCTTGCCTATGATGTTCCGGGAAAACTTTTCATTATTATGACTCTCTCTAAAACATGAATTTAGGAGTTGGTCAAAAATTAGCCAAAATTTTTACCAAAAATTTGTTGGGAAAAGAAGAGGATTTGCCAATTCATCAAATACCTATATATGATAAACTCCTGCTTTAATTGCCTGCGAGAATGGTTGTTATCGCGTCCAGGAGTACGGCAGAGATGATGATAGTCGTACTGGTCCAGGCTCGTTGTTGTGCGGATAGTCATTACCATGTTCAGGAAGAAGAAGATTATTATGTCCAGGAAGAAAATAAAATGAAGATGGTTGTTATTATGTCCAGGCTCATTGTCCTTCACCCCTTTTGATTAATCATTATTACCAACGTTTACATACATCTAATTCTACAACATTTTTTCTTAAGCTTATCAATAATATCGCTGTAATTGTCATCACGATCAAAATTTTTTATGTAACTTGCCGAAGCGAAAATATGCGTCGTGTATTGATTTTTTTTTCAAAACAGCTCATCATTTCATTTTCAAATTCAAAGGAATTTATCATGGTTTCTATTTTCTTTTTTGTCTTAGTATTGACAATTCAAGAAATCAACATTGTTGCATATGTGACACAGACAAAGCGCGTGTGTATATTTTCTCAATTAACTAACATCTTTCGCACAAACATACATGATGCTATTACTATCTGCTTTTTTTAGTGCTGATTCATTCAATGTTTTTTTCAACTGTCTATCTAGCATTGTTGGCAAATTTCACTTTTTTTTCCTTGAATAACTTTTGGTACGAAAGAAGAACCATTTGAATTCGTGTAATAGTAAAGAGACCAAATGATGATTCTTTTACCCCAAAAAAGTTCTTTTTACACAGATTGTGGAAAATCGTCCATTCCTAGAGTTCCCGACGTAGTCTTTATTATTTACATTTGTATTTATATTTATCCTGAAAATCCCACAAATACCTCCTTTCTTGGCCAAAGTAAATTTATTATGTTTATCTAGGACGGTTGGTAATGATGGTACATATTTTTTATAATATATATACAAATGTTCTTAACTTTGAATAAAGAAATCAGGCAATCTGAGTTTTAAATAAAGCGAGGATCAAAGATGTTTTGATAATGATGACGTTGATTAATAATCGTAATAAATAATAATTGTTTGATTAAAATGATCAAAATCATTTTAATTTTTTTCCTGAAAAAAAGAATACTTTGTTTCCCTTTATTTTTTATTTTTATAAAGGTTTTTTTTTTAAAAAAAAATTATTTTTTAATGTCAAGAAGTTCAAGAATTGGTAATGGTAGAGGCGGTGGTGATGATGGCGGCAATGGTATTGGTGGTAGCAATGGTTTCAATGATGCGGAGGATGATAATAATAATAATGGCTTGATAGGAGGTGCCTTAAATTCAATCTTTAAAACAAAAAATTTAGTTTTCAACAAAACCAAAATCTTGAATTTTACACCAACTTGGTTACAAGTACCTGTAAGCTATATTTACCGAGTTTCTAATAAATATCAAATACTGAGAGATTTAACTTTTATTTGGGCCGCTTTATTTGCTATACCATTATTCGCATTCATTGTTTGGACAATTGGATCTTTATCAATTACCCTTATCATATGTAAAATATATATATATTTATGTGTTAATATATATATATATATATATACTCCTTACTAATCTATATGTATAAATTATAGGGCTTTTTACATATTTTGTAGTAAATATTATAACAATCGGAACTGGATTCTTGATTCTTTTACCAATTGCAGCAATCACTTTCTTTACATCAATAATTGTCACAATAGTCTATACAGCATTAAAATGGATATATTATTCCGGAAAGCAATTTTACACTTTCATAATGACCTTTCTTAGGAATCGTTATAATCTTCCTTCATTTAATATTCTTCAAGATAATACTACAAGAGAGAGAAGAAATCCAACCAACAATAACACTATTACCACCAACAACAACATTATTAGCTCCTCCTCCTCCTCCTCCTAGAATTGAAAATACTAACTTACTACAAACTTTGCCATCTCCACCACATTCTAATAATAGAATTTGTCATCTATCTGAATCTCCAAGATCTATTACTAGTGCTAGTACTGTTAGTGCTATCTCCAATAGTCATAATAATAATAATAATACTCCTAATATTAATAACAACAATACTATTGATGCATCAACAATTTTATTAATAGTTTTTTTTGTATATCTTATTTTATTATTTCATTATTTTATTCATTTTTACGATACCTTATAGTAATAGTAATAATATCTTATTTTTTTAATAAATATTTGTATGTGAATTGTAAAAACAATTTTTGATTTTCTCTCTAGGATTGTATAAAAAGAAAATCATTTTTAGCAAAATATAATATTCATATAATATAATCATTCATTTACTATCCCTAATTCATCATCAGAGTCTTCAATTATTTCTGGTGATTTATACTTTCGTTGTGGTGGAGACTTCTGAAACCTATTATAAAGTTCACAAACAATTTCTTTTTTGTGCCAATCATCATAATAATATAATAAGTAATAGTTATTTAATTTAAAACAAAAGATAACATGAAAGGTATTGTTATTGTCGCATACCAGTAAAGGTTTTGGATGAAAAATCTTGAATTGTATATTTTAATCGACGCCACCTCTCATGTAAGTATACTTGTGTCCTAATTATATAATTAATAAATTAGCATGTGTAAATTATTGTGTTAAAATAAACTGGTAGATTGTTTACTTTACCAAGGACCCCATTCATCATCATTCAATGATTCCCAATTAAAAGAATACTCTTCCTTTTGCTTTGATTGGTATAATCTTATAATTTTAAATAATTTTAATTTTAAGTGTAAAATTATAATTAAAGAAAAGATCATATGAATATTAATATTCATACTTATTAACAAGGATATAACTATCTTCACTACACCATTTTGATATCTCTCCCCCTTTCTCCATTTCATATATAAGACGTAACTTTCTTCCCCTAAATGAATTATATATATATAACAAGTAAATTTTTTTCTTTGTTATCGATCATCCATGCTTTAAAACAATCATATAAGACCCAATCAAACATACCATTTTTCACGACATTGCTTAGGAGATCGTTTTTTCCCCATTCTTTCTGAAACTATATCCCATGGTATTCCATAATCTAATGTTATTTCATCTTTATATCTTGTTACAATATCAGTAACAATAAGTTTTAATTGATCTTCTTCTTCTTTAGTCCATTCACCTATCATCACCATCATTTATTAAACAAATCAAACAAATTATCAATTTCCAAATTTTCAAAATAATCATATATACACTTTTTTTTAATTCGTTTAATTTATAAATTAATTAAATATATTTTTAATAATCAACCAACCTTTTCTAGGATTTCGATTACTAATAGAACCATAATCTCTCCATCGGTCACGACATTGAGTACCCATACGTCCCAACTCTGATCCAATTGTTGTCCAATCTTTACCATGAATTGCTACTAATCTAAAATTTTAAATAAAAATATTGTGATAAAGCCCAAATTACATAACAAATATAAAAATAAAAATAAATATTGTCATTACTTACTGATTTAATCTCTTGTCATCTTCTGGTGACCATTTTCCTGTATAATTGTGGTGATGAAATAATCTTTGAACATGTATACACACATTTTTTAGTGGCCTTGTTCCCAATGGAGTTGCTTTTAATCCACAAGTATTATATTTAGTGATAATATATTACACTAATATAAATATATAACAATAATACATATATGATTTACCAATTTCACGCCAGAAACCTTTATGCTCAGCTGGTGTAGTTCCATATATTAACTTGTGAAGTTCATTATCAGTCAAATTGTTTAGCTACATAAATATATAAATATAAATATAAATATATGCATCTCTCTATAATAATTCAAGTAATAATAAACCTATATATAATAATAGCAGCCTACAATTTTATATTTATTTAATGCCGCATATAATACTTCATCTTCTTCCATAGTATATATACCTTTCTTATATTTAATTCCTTTAATAAATATTCAAATAGTGATTGATTAAACGATTTTTTTAAAATTAATGTGTATTATAATCTAAATTGCATTATAAAAAATATATTCACCTAATTCGTCTAATTTTTTTCGTTCCAACCATTTTGAAGTCAATAATGCGTCATTATTTGTTGTTGATTTTGATCCTGCTGTTTTTTGATACCTGACCAAGCTACTAGAATCTGACGATCTAATTGCTGCACTTAACTTATTAACACCTCTTTTTTCTTTTTTTTCTTTTTGTATTTTTGGCATGATCAATTAAAAAACTGTTTTGACGTGTTGTGCAACAATTAATTAAAAGAAAGTGTTGACATAGTTCGTTCGTTGTGTGATTGAAAATTCAATATTTCCTTTCAAATTAGTTAAATGAACATCTTTTCAAAAACCTTAATTTTAATTCATTGCTAATTAATCTATCATTTTTTCTAACACTCTTTCCTTTATTGTCCAGCCCTGGGGACATCATTGAGGAAGATGATCATTACAACGTAGCATAGGTATTAATAATAGAGCAATCAATATGATTTGATTCTATCACTGTCAACACCACCAATATTAATTATTAAGTTCCACCTTATTATGTACCAAAGAAGGCTGATAGAATAAAAAATGATTCAGCAACTCATTTGAGAATTCTTAAACATATATATAACATTACAAATTGGTAATTTAATCCTCGTCATCCTCATAAATTAAATAATATTCATGGAAAAAAAGGAATTGACGTTGTAAGCTTATCTTTCATGACTTATAAAAGAAGTCGGGACTGAGTGGAGGCTTGTTTTACAAGAAAACACATGCAATCGAGATTTATATGTAGTCAATAATTTCCTTTGGTTTTTAACAAGAAATAATCATGCTTTAAATTTTGAATAGTCACGTCGAAATCGTTAATATTTACTCAATTCTTGAAAACTAAATTTGTGTTGCTTAAATATATCCGCAACTCCTTCCCACAGGTTACCCACGGAGAATTTTCAAATATAATTTGGAAGGTGCTTAGTGGACAGATATTCTTTGATTCCACTTTAATAAAAGAGAGAATCTATTGATGATTCTGAATTCGTCAATGGGGACGAATCTAAACTTGAAAGTAAAAACAAACCGCCTCATTCAACATGGAAGTTGAGATGTTCTTATATTTTGTAAAATTTAGTTGAAGGGCGTTCGGGCCTCGTTACGCGCATCTCTCCATATTAAAAAAATCTTGCCCCATGCATATGTGGCAACTTTCGGTAAATGGTGCTTGAACGGTCAAAGATCTGAGATGAAAATTTTCATTGGCTTATTTCAATTGATATGTCAGATGTCGTACAACATAATCAAAAAATTTTCTTCACAATTTTTTTAAATTAAAAATGCAAAACTCTTCTCAAATTGAACTTTATCACCCTCGTAAATGGTCAGTAAATGACTTTTAATGATAATAGTCATTATTGCTTTATTATAAAGTTTTTATTATATGATTATACGATTTCACATTACTTATTATCTGTAAATAAATGCAGTTCTGCAACAAATCGTATAATTACTGCCAAGGATCATGCATCTGTTCAAATAAATGTTGGAGAGGTCGATGAAAATGGCCAATACAAAAATGAATGGAAAACATATGCATTGTGTGGATTTGTTCGTCAATCTGGTGAATCTGATGATTCATTAAATCGTTTGGCTACAGAAGATGGATGTAAGTGGTATTTTATTTTTATAGATTATTATTAATATTATAATTGTTTGTTAAATTTTATTATTATTATTATTATTATTATTATTTAGTTCTTAAAAGGTAAACTTTCACTTTCATTAATTAAAAGTCATTTAAATTTTTGAAAAAAAATTTTTTAATTTTATTTTTTAATTCTTAATAGTGTATGGTCTCATCAACGTTGAAATAGTTTAATTGAATTAATCAAAGTAGTTAGGAATATTTCTAGTAACTTGTAATAAGAAGAATATTAAAATATATTTCAAAGTTTTTATATAAGACATTATGAATTTTGAATTGAAGCTTTGTCAGCAAGAACTGGTTGATGATAATTCCATTCTATAAACTTTGACCATGCTAATTAATCAATCAATTTGATCTTGATAATAATAATTATAATTAATTAATAATAATCACTCTAGAATGGAAACTTACTATCCAACTCTAAAAATTAATTCTTATTGTCACATGTTTCATAAAAAGAACCTTTCTGTATATAATATTACCCTAAAATTAAAATTGGTTTACTACTATTAAAGGTTCTGGAACAGGCTCTAAGGCATTTAAAAATTAATGTTAAAAATCAATAAAAAATAATAATAAATTTCATCTTATTGTAATTTAATTAAAGCAATTCTGATACTTGTATTAAGGTAGGTTAGAATTGAGCTCATCAAAATCATAATCATCATTTTGTGATGTATTTAATTCATCAAGACTTTCTAATTCTATTAATCAGTCTTTATAATCTGACTTTCCAATCTATTATTGTAAGAGGATGATAATAAATCAACTCCATCTATGAGATATTCTAAACAATGATGGATGACATTTAAATCCCCATTTCTTGAAACATTTATTATGATATCCATATCCGTATATTAGAACCTTTCTATAAAGTTACAATTGATCAATACCCCTTACAAGGGTTTGTTGAAAAAATTGGGGGTTTCCAATAGAAACAGGCATGTTGTGAAAAAAGCAATTTTGAGTTATACCATTGCTATATGTAGAACATTTTTGGCTTGAAAATTACACCCACTTTGCATAGTAAAATATCGAAATATTTTTTCTTTAAAGTTTCAAAAACAATAATAAACCCTTAAAATATGGATATTTTCTTTAATTTTCTCAAAAAATCATTTTCACAACATGGCCCGTTTTTATTGATAAGCCCCCTCTTGATTAGACTATTAGTACCAGAGCTAATGGAATGCCTTTAAATCTTTGCTCAAGATGAGCTAATATTTTTTTGAAAGTTCAGAAGATGATGCACTTACTCCAAAATCTACCTTTTCCTGATGGATGAACTAAGAAAATTTCAAAGGCTATGGTGAAATCAAGGAATCCTTCATACAAAAGGCAGACTGGGATAATGCTATGTATTGAAGATAACAAGCTGATTTTTGTTTATTGTATCAAGATTTTCATACATGCTTGTCGAGGGTGTGTAACTTTAAAAGAATACGAATGTCATGGAGACATGTTTAATATTCATAACTATTGGGAATGGTCTAATGGCAAGGTCACAGTCATTGAATTTCCATCAGATTTGCATAAAATTTGCATCGCGCACAACCATTACTAGGATATTATTACACTAATGCAATGCTATTGCTGAGATCTGTGGTCTTGGATCTTTTTATTACATCTAGTGTGAAAATCATGTTTGTGGTGAATTAAATTTTGGGGTGGGTGTTTTGGATACAAAATTCTGATTGGCTAATTTGAATTTCACGTACAACAGTACATTAATGTTTCCATTATTTTTATTTTTATATTATTATTATTTTATTATTAAGAGAAAGTAACTGGCAGGATTATTACAAGACTCGCTTGGTATGCATTATTGCAACTATATCACCAGTAAAATCAAGCATGGATAAGATTGGATTATGCAATTCAAGCTAAAAATATTCAGTTGCCAATCAGTACGTAAACAAAAAGGCATTGCCTCAAGAATATAGAATAGATTTTTCTTCCTTGAATGTAAAATAAATTTATATACAAGAATTTATATATCAATATTATCGATACAATTGAGGATGAGAATGTTGAACTGCGCACAAATTAGATATCTGTATTCTCTATTTGTGGTACATAGTGATTTTTAATAATGTAATGAAAATAATGATGATGAACAGCCATAATTAAATGTTAGACCATCAATTGAAAATCAGTAATCAATATTACAAAGAGCTTCAAAAAGTAATTACCAATATACAAATACTCCCCATCTTCACGATTATTACTACTGCTACTGTTAACAACAACATCAGTACTTGCAATGATATTTTCATCTAAAATTTGAATGCTATTGTTAGACTTATTATAACGAATAAATAAGTAAATAAATAAATAAATTCTTAAAAAGATTACTTGCCATCACCATCATTGTTATTATTGTTACTAACACCACCACTAACACTTGCAATAATTTCATCTAAAAATTCAAACACATTTTAGAACCTTTATAATAAATAAATTCTTAAAAAGATTACATACCATCACCACCATCATTATTATTACTAACACCACTGCTAGTACTCGCAATAGTTCCATCTAAAAATCAATTGCATTTACAATAAATAAACGTTTGAAATATTGCTCACTACTAGCTTCATCATCATAATCATGATTATTATTACTATCATTACCAATAAATAAATAAATAAATAAACGTTTGAAATATTACTTACCACTAGCTTCATCATTTGTGTCAACATTAACGGCATCATCATTATTATTATAAATAACACCACCACTAGTACTTGCAATAATTATATCTAAAAATTCGAATGCATTTTTAGAACCTTTATAATAAATAAATAAATTTTTTTTGAAGTATTGTTTACCATCATCATAATTATTGTTATTATCATTATTAGCTTCATTATTAATTTGATCTGAAAATACAAGTTATTTTTTAAAATTAGGTTTTAATTAAATAATGTGTAAATTGAGTTTTGTTGATAAAATTATTGAATGTTTTCACCTTCAATTGTTATATTGCTTGGTATGTCCTCTTAATTAATGTAACAATCAGCAAATAATAATTCCAATACTGTATCATTACTTCTTGGTTCAATACCAAAAACCAAACAATCTGGAGTATTATAGAAATAGAAATATTCATACTATAGATTATAATTTTTAGTACAAACAACCAATTATCTTTGATAATTTGTTTTCTAAATCCTTATTCCAAGTTCTACAAGCTCCTGGGGCCGTGGATGACATGGCCTGCCATTAATAATTTTTGTGCCTAGCCATATCCCATCAAACCTTTTGTTACTTGAGAATTGAACTCCTTTCCATTATCTGATTGTAATATTGTTAGAGCTCCAAAAGCTGTAAACAAGTCAAATAAATTTGCTGCAACCTCAATTAAAGATTTAGATTTCAAGGGATATCCCATGAATATCTAGTAAAATGGTCACGAGCATGAAGAATGTATTTATATTCTCCATCAGGAGACATTTCCACAAGGTCCACCTATTAATTTTTATGAATTATTTTATTAATTTTATTTTAATAAAATGAACCAAAAAAAAAAATCAATTAAATTATGAAATATACAGAACCTACCAAAAATGGCAATTCATTCTACAAAAATAGAAACTAAATTGTGGCTCAAAATTTTTGTAAAACCTACGTGACATTTATCAATGATGTGATGATTAAATTTGTGGGCTGGGGTGGCAAGAATTACGGAGTGTTTACCAACTCTAAGAATTAATTCTTATTTGTCACATAGG